AATACATACCGTGAACCGTTACACCCCTACTAAACACTCACTTTATTCTGGTGGAACCAATGACAAGCGGCCTTGTGTTTTGGATCGTTGTCGTGTTAGAATGTCCAGTAACGTCTTATGCCCAGTTTCTGGGCTCATTTCCTTTGATCCTTCCAGTATCTTCTGATAACATGCTGCATTCATTTTTCCATTACTTTTGATCAAGTTCCCTGTGCCTTTGGTGATCACAGATCCCCAAAACATCAGTGACCTACATCCATGTTATCCCATCCCAGTGGGGATGGTGTTCCATTCATGTTAACTCCTCTCTAAATGTAGTGTTTATGGGTGTGGCCAGAAAGTTTAATTTTGTGCTCATAGCCCCAAACAACTTTGCTCCAGGTGTCTCTGAGCTGTTTGGTGTATTGTAACTGAGCTACTTTGTGGCTTTTGCATAGAAAATGACTTTCCTCTGACAACTCGACCATGCAGCTAAGGCTGGCATTTGGCCTAAAATCAAAATCTCTATTAGTTGAGCATTTAAACTTTATTACAAGTAATGAACGATTACGTATTTAATTTTCCCCTCGTTGTTCACAGTGAAGTTTGTACAGTCAATATTGTAAGTGAGAGAAGTTTGAACGGTGAATTACCTGATTTAAAAAGGAAATGGAGCAGGGTCACATGACTCCAAACGGTAGTGTTTTTAAAGGGAAAGTAATTGAAAAAATTGACCTGCTAAAATTTGATCAATTATATGTTCTGAATGTTGATTACGATTACATTTTGTTTAAATCACCCAGCCCTACATGCAACCCATTTTTCTTCAAGTGTCTCCTTATTGTGCTCCTTGAGCACATTTTTTTCAGGAAGCCATGTATTTCAGCTGAATTAATTTTGCATCCCTTACAATTTGTCTGGTTTTGTTTGGTTTAAATAGAATCCCTCACTTTCCTCTTCTAAATCTGAGTTTGAACACTGCTTCCCAGTTCCTTTGATATCTTTTTATATCCATTTCCAGTTTTGTACAGTTCAACTATACAACTATTCTTTTGCTTTCCCCATCGCTCAGAATTCAGAAATGAAAGAGGCATCACTGGATGAAAGAGGCAAAGGTCTATCAGTAGCCCAAAACTCAAAAAACATTTCTGTAGAAACAGTGATTACAAGCAAACAGGTCGAGCTGAGGATGGTTACTTTTACCAGCCACTCAAACCCTTTTGTGTCAGTTTTATGTGCATGTTATCAGGGCAAAACCACCAGGGTGTGTAAACCTTTGCTTAGGTTCATTTGGAAACTTTGAGTGGAACCACTAACTATGAGTGGAAACTAACTTTTGCATCACCATTCATATTTTCTAAAAAAACACCAGAGAAATCTTGAGAAAATTTGCCCCGATGTTTAAACGTATGAATACAACTGTATAATGCAGCAATGGAAATAAAGACTGTAGTAAATTCACAGCTGGTGCTTTGCAAGCTGCCATCACAAAGCTTGCATCCTGAGATTCCAGATGTGCTGTATGACACCGCAATCTGTTTCCCAATTATTATGCGTAGCTGCTGTATTCAAAGATGAGACGCACAGCTCAGGGCATCTCTATGTTATTACTTGTTTTTTCATGTTATTGTTACAGCTTTCTCCTTGATCACAATCGATACGATTGCAAAACTCACTCAGAAACATGGCAAGAGCTGTTCATATGTCTAAGATGTTCAAAAAGAAAACAGGCAGCCAGGGTTGAGATTCTTATCATAGTAACGATGGTAATTAGCCTCAAATCATGTAAGAGAGCGGGTTGTCTAACCAAGACAGGTTCACAGAGTTCCAGTAATGCAGGGAACTATAAGCCAAGTTTTTTCTTGCATCATTGTCTGATAAAAAGATTCAGGGGTTTTTGATGCTCATGATTAAGAGATGACTATCTGCATCACGCCTGGTAATGCTGCTGCTTCAGTTTACCGTACTAATGGGGCCTTCACAATGGTTATTTTCTGAAATTTCTGAATATTTAGCTAAATGTGTTACAAATATTTTAACCTAATTAGTTACGCTTTTTTTAAAAAGGGTCATTTTGAACCCCCCCCAACTATTTTGCTGAAGGAAAAGAGAAATTATTTTGTTGAAATCTCCATCACTGTGGAAGAAAACAGCGCAGACATCACCCAACTGTCAGTTCAAGTGGACAAATATTGTATTGATTAATAATCTCAATCTTCACTAGGGCTGCAACAAACGATTATTTTGGCAATCGATTAATCTATCGATCATTGGACCGATTAATTGATTAGTCGTCGATTATTTCAATGAATTATCAGTAGCCTTTGAGCGATTATTCTGCTTTTTCAACTAGTTAAAATAATGAGTTACAAATATTCTAACTAATAAAAAAAAAGAGAAAATCACTTCAGCTTTTGAAATAGTTGTTTTAATGAACTTTGAGCCAACTAAACATGTCATTCTCTTTAAGTTTTCTGATTCTGTTACACTCAAATTACACACAAATGCTCTCTAAGCATTGTTTACATGTTTTGTTCTAATTCAATAGAAAATAATAAATAATCAGCTGCATTACAGACAAAAAGAAAGTTGAATGTGAAGATATCTTGACAGCAGCATTAATAATTGTTGGTTTAGCACTCGTTTTAGTTCATCAAAAGTAATATCCCAGGGAAATACACAGTTATGAAACTAGATATTTGGAGTGTGATAATCTAACAATTCTTAGAAAATCTGGCAACATTTCAAAATGTAAGAAACAAATAAAGATAAGTTTAGAATCAGCATAAGATAATGAATGGTGTGAGAAAGAAATGCTTTGGTGTGTGTCTTCATTTTATTTCTATTTTTGACTCTTAAAGCTGTTAAAATGAACTTTCCCCATTGTGGGACAAGTTTTTTTCCCATAATGTGAATGGATCTATATAGCTTTTTATTTTATATCAACGATTTTTTACTTTGTTTATCCTTCTTTTTACGTTAAATGTTAATTATTCTAATGAATACGCAAATAAAATATAAACATCTAAAGTTTGTGTAATGCTGTACATTCATAAATTATTACAATATTCACTGCTGTAAGCAACTTGCTTTAAGCGATTGCATTCTTTTAAACAATATTTAGAGTTGAACAATGTGTTACAAGTAAATTTGACATCTACGCGGCATATAAGCAAAATAAAAATCAAAACGTCTTCACAAGTAAACATTTTATTTGAACTCTCATTGGCTTAGTCTACGTAATCACGTGATTGAATGCGCGTTCAGGCAGAGGGGAGTCGAAATCTGCCGGGGAGTCACCGGGATGCTTCCTCGTGCTCCAACATGCACGTTGTGCTCCCGTGAAAAGCAAGTTTTGCCTTGCATGTATTGCACACGACAGAATTTTTGGTTAAGTGAAAGCTGCATCACACTCTAGCGCTCAAATCGCGACACGTGACCTTTACATTAGGTCACATGACATCAAACGACTACTCGACAACAAAAATATTTGTCGACAATTTTTTATTGTCGACGTTGTCGATAATGTCGACTAATCGTTTTAGCCCTAATCTTCACATGCTTTGAAGAAGAAAAAAAAAAGTAAAATTTAAAAAAAAAAAAATGTGTGTGAGCCAGACTCGAGGCGGAGCTTTGAAACCACGACAGTTCTCTCCTCAACAGGAAGTCGTGTGTGCGCATGTGCACCCGTCAATGGCAGCCCTCTCTCCAGCTCTGAAATGGCCATGCCGTCCATATTTTTTACAGTCTATAGTTAAACTATGTCCACGATGGCCTTCGAATGTCGAAATTTTGCCATGAACAGGAAATTGTTAATAACTCAGCCTTTCAATGTCTGATCAGATTCATATTTGACATGCGTGTTGAGAGTGCATGTCTAAACAAAGCTATATCGCAAACTACATGGTCAGCAATAGCGCCACCAAGTGTCAACACGGAATATCCCATTTTCTGTAGTTATATACTGCCATTTACGACTGTGCTTGAAGGAAATGATTGAAATTTGGAACACTCATTTAAACGATCAAGACCAACAAAAAAAAAGTCCTTTAGAGCGAGTTTCAAAAAGTGACAGGAAGCCAGTTATTTTAATTTGCGTTAAAATTTCAAACCATTTCAGGCATTTTACTCAACAAACTCCACATGAAGTAAGATCACACTTGCCAGGAATCTATATCGTAAAATTTTTTATCATTACATTTATGCATTTGGCTTTTATCCAAAGCGACTTGCATTTGAGTGAATGAACACATTTTTGTCAGTTCCTGCTTTCCCTGGGATTTGAACCCATGAACTTTGTGTTGTTACTGCAATGCTCTATTAACTGAGCCACAGCAAAGCTAATTTCTCAATAAATCTATTTAGCAAACTATGTTATAATTGATTGGCAAGTTGTTTTTGATTTTCATTTTTAATTTGCCATTTATGTCTGTAATTGTAACAGTTCTTGCTTAAATAATCTCATTTAGAATTGGTCATAATGCTTTGTGCAACAAACTGCCCAAGGGGTGATAGCGCCGGAGGTGCTCAAGCCCTTTGATTGTTGCTTGCAGCTTTATTTTAGGATTGTTTTCATAAACCTGGTTGGTTGTTTCTCTTACAAGATCTGGTTGTGAAGCCGGTGGATTTGACAGCCCCTGACTCACACCCACCTGAATATCTTAGGCGAATGAATGAACCCGTTTAACAAACACCATTAACAAAAATTCACATGATGTATGGTAGACTCACGGTCATTACTAAATTCCTCATTAAAAATAAACCGAAGGTGTACGACACCAAAATTAAAAACTAGCCATGTAAACAACAACGTTACACCAAGGCTAACGCTAGCTGCATTAGCTTCTTGGTTTTGCTCACTTTGCACAGTGCACTTAGATTGTAATCACAACAAAACGGTGGAATGTTTTTTTTCTTACATTTCGATTCAAGCACCCAGCAGCTTGATTAATAAGTATGAGTGGCAAATAAACAAGAAATGTCAGATGTAACGTTTGTAGGCCTCCGCATCAGTCAAGCTAATGCTAACGGATTCACAGAAGCCAAACAACAAACAGCAAAAGATTCCGGCGGTACCTTTGACACCAGCAGATGTATAATCAACATAGTTGTGCATATAAAATGTTCCACCAAAAAGGTGTATACATAGGATCGTAAAATCTTACCATGATTATCAGGTATGTCAAAAACACTGGCTGAACCCCTGTGGCCGTTTCTTGTCATGTGACTGTTGCTGTTGCTGTTCCGCCTCGCCTCATAATCACGCAACGAAAAGATATGTATTTAATCCTTCTCCAAGCTGTGTATAATCAACTATTTGAACTTTAAAAATATATTTATGTAATATTATGCAATTTCATCCCTGGTCAAGTTGTGGTTGTACTTTTTGGAACGTTATTTAAATTTAACACATGTGGTTAAAATTAATTTGAAGAACAACAACCGCATCAACGTGTGTATATTAAAACATAAATGAATAAACATTTATGTTTTATTTAATGACAAATACATCGCCCCGCCCCCCTTTGAGTCACCAATGACAGTTTGAAACGTTTATTTCTGGTGTGACACGTGATTGTTTTTCGCGGGAAATCAACAGAAACGGTTGTTTTGATGTTAGCGAGAGCCCTGCTCAAATGGATAAAGAGTTATTTCGTAACATTGCCGCTAAGGTTGGCGTAACATCTGTCAAAGTTTTAAGGTAAGTGTTCAAATGTGATTCACAAGCGATCTTTTAAACCAAATAACATTTAGCAGCTTCTACTCGTGTGTTTTCAGTCAAGCTGAAGAGTACATGCGACTCTCGCAAGTGAAATGTGTCGGCTTGGGTTCTGTTACTGCGACCAGCAAAGCTGTTATTTGCCTAGAGTTGGCCGCCACTTCAATGAAATTTCCTCTGGATAAGGTAAGATTAATTTCTATGTTTCTTTACAAACTCTCGTCAGTTAGTTGACAATATATGTGTTTTTTTTTATTTAATTTTCATTCACTTTATTAACGGGGTAAAAGTACACTGAAGTGTCCAGGTTTATATGCTAGTTTTTCTGTAAATGGTCATCGGTCATGTCTTTGTATTGTCTCATTTAACTCCAAATTACCCCAACACAGTGAAGTAGAGCTCTACCAGGTGGACTTTAGTTCATAATTTGGTCCAGACCAAGAGGAACAACTGATGCGTTGCTGCAGCCATTTTAAGACCTCTACACACCAAATTTCCAATGCAAAGTTTCGTACGCCAACTCCTTGATCGAAAACCATTGGCGCCAATGGAGCTCACACATCTGACCAAACGGAAGATGCCAATAAAAAATTGTTGGATTGCCATATAGGATTTATTTTTCGCAGTGAGGACGACAACCAATGAACGCTGGCTCTTTTGATGACGTAAGTAGGAACTGTTCGGTGGGTGCATCCCAATATTTCATAGTGACTTTGCACAGAAAATAGGAAAGAAATGGTGAGCCACAAAATCTCTCTTTTCACCACATTTTTTTTGTCAAACAGTTCCACTTGACCAGCCACTAATGGCTCTTTTCCACTGCATAACTCGGACTAGTCAGCGCTAGGGGTGTAACGGTTCACGGTATGTATTGAACCGTTTCGGTACGGCCTGTTCGGTTCGGGACACTTGCGTACCGTTTCGGTATTCGGTATTTGTATTAAATAATATAAATGTATTATTAGCGCGATATTAAGCGCAGCGGAACCATGTTCCTAGGCGAGTTTCCGCACGGACGCTTTTGAGGGACGTGCAGCTGTACTGTGCGACACTCAATAGCGTCCGTGCGGAAAATCGCCTTTGGCTTCCCTGTTAAAATACATAACGGGGATAGACGAGTGGATAAATTTAAAGTTGTATGCGACATTGTTCCACGGAGATCAACACATCTAACATTTTCTACTGCTGGAGATATTGTCACTGCAACCAGATCTGTGCTCTCTTCAGAAAATGTGGATGGGTTAATCTTTTTAGCCAAAAACTTAAAACTTGAATATTTAGTTTTGTTGATATACAAGCTGAAGCTGTTGCTAGTGTTAAAAGTTTTCAGGTCCTAACTAGTTGCAGTATTTCATTTTTTGTTTAATAAAATGTGTTTTTCTTTATAAAGAGTGCAATTTATTTAAAATATCACCCAAATGTGTCACTTTTATTTATTTTATGCAAGAATTCTATTGTGTATTGGCAGCTTTTCAAAATAAAGATTATGTAAGTTTTTATTTTTTTGTACCGAACCGAATTAACCGAACCGAACTCTCCAAGACACTGTACCGAACCGAATACAATTTTAGCGTACCGTTACACCCCTAGTCAGCGCTCACGTACGTCATGCTTGTTCGGCCAATCAAATGAATGGTGTAAGTTCAGAGCGATTGTGTCCGTTCTAGAACCTCCTCGAAGCGAGATCCAGAAATGAGTCCACGGCCACAATCCAGTGGAAAAGCCGTTAAAACCACACTGAACTAAACTGTGGAAAAGCGCCGTAACTCTATAAACTGCTCTAAATCCATGTTTTTTTTCTGTGTTCTTTGATTTCTTCTCTGTCCTTGTGTAGACGCTTTTAGTCCTCATTCACTCCACACTGATCGCTCTGATCCGCACTAGTTGTGACTTCGTACCGGCCACTCATTGGTCGTATACGTAATCATACCTGTATTCTTGGCTGCCTTTTGATTGGTTAGAATAAATGCACACATGGAAGTAAACAACAGAGAACAGAACGCTTGAAGACTGGAACAACGTGCCCAAAACAAATAGACGTCACTGCCAGATTTTGACCCTTGGCATCTTTTACTATATCGTCTATAATTGCTGCCATGAGATATGCTCCTTTGTAAACAAACTCTCAACCTAAAAAGCCAAGCGAGTACGGTGACTGTACAGCTACTTCGCGGTTTGACTATCACGGATTCATGACTTCGCTGATTATTTTTTTCCCCCATTACGTATGTATATTATAAGAGAAAATATATAGCGGATTTTCCGTAAATTTCAAAAATAGTTGAGATATTTGAAGACCCCAAATATTTCATTAATTCCATTAATAATTATTAATATCTGCTAGTACTGTTGGTTCATTGTGCCTGTGTACTGTATGTACGTATTGATATCTATACATTACTGTAAAGGGAGGGTTTTAAAAGTCTGAATACTGATTACCTGTTAAATAAATACTGTAAATATGGTGTCCCTATGTTGGAAAAATTCCAAAAGAAGAACACCGACACCACGAATCCAATTGATGTTCATTTTAATTCCCTATTTGACATACTAAGTTTGGAACCTATTTTTGATCAAGGAGATTAAGAGCATAGGGAGACGAAAAGCATCATAGAGAGAGCGAGAAGGAGAGAAGAGCATCCGAATACCAGAATGGAACACTGTGATGTTACACACTCTGACCGATCGCAAAAACATACACACACTACTGCCAACTAAACTCAAAAAGTCCTACAGTTAAAGAGTTATCTTAACCCAAACAAGGGTGGTTACAGGGACGTAGTCACAATAACGGAAAAGAGAATAAGAGAATAATAAAAGCAATGACTAAGCAAAATGTCACAGTGCCTCAGCTCACGGTGAATGCTGAGAACATCTCTGAAAGGAATGAGAACTAATAGAACTAATAGACACAGTTATTAATGCATTTGATAAATCATACATTTAGTATCTACAAAAACATGGAGTCATGAAATCACATTTCATAATTTTTCTAACACCCTACTTCGTGGATTTTCAGCTATCGCAGCCAGTTCTGGAACCTATCAAACCGTGATAAATGAGGGTTCACTGTATTCCTTCAAAAAGCATGTTTTTGTCATAATCAGTTTGTTTGTTTTTTAGGGGTTTGAATCAGTTTTCGATCATGTTCTCTCCATAAGCGAACGTTTGGATTTATACTGACACCAGCTCCTTGAGCAGGTCTCAGACCACTTTTTTTTTTGTCTTCTGGTCAGATTTTTAGTTGACGTGCCCAAACAAGCCGAACCTTAAAGTGAAAACAATCTCTAGTTCGAAATAATCTAAACTAAATGTCCTCGATCTACATGTTCTCTCTTTCTAAATGAACAGTAACGCTTTAAATGTTTATTCTGTGATCAATGTTCTGCATTTCAGGAGTTTGCCATTAAACTTTCTGGACTGAATCCTAAGGTGTACTCCAGTCATTTAAAGGCTATGGAGTGCATGCTGGGCCTACAGTCAAATCTGGGTCTCCGGGACCTCGCAGTGCAGTATGGATGTTTAGATGCAGTTAAAGTTGCGTCTCAGATCCTTGAAAAGTAAGACTTTGCAAATAGATTCAAAATGTGTTTGTTTTAAATGTTTTATAACGTTTGAAAAT